GAGGGTAGAACAAGAAGCAATGGGTGGAAACTAATCAAGGAGAGAAGCAACTTAAAACTGAGGATAAATTTCCCGACAGACACTTAGAACAATTAATCAGTGGAGCAACTTGCCTCCAGAAGTTGTGAACGCCCCAACACTGAAAATCTTTAAGAAGATGTTGGATAGACATTTGTCTGAAATGGTATATGGTTTCCTGTCTAGGCAGGAGGTTGGACAAGAAGACCTCCAAGGTCCCTTCCAACTCTGCTATTGTATTGTAATAAGGTAGTGTACTTGAATACTACTTGAATCTTGATTAAATTTAGTAAGTTTATCAATATAACTCTCTCTCTCTGGGTTAATTATCATCTTTACTAAGTGCGCAATAGGAGTGAGGACACACATGGGGTTGTGAGGGAGAAGGACAGATGCAGCTAGGCAGCCATATCAACTGAATCAACACTCTGATGAAATGAGTAAAAGATGTAGTAGCAGATTGTCCCCACAAAATATTGTTCAAATGTTTTTCAGAAGTGAGAAACTGAAAAAGTGAACACTATAAAGCCACTAAATAAATGTCTAGTATTTATATTCACCCCTGATTCCAGAGAAAAATTTCTAATTATCCAGTCACACTAATCCTTTGAGTTTCAAAACATTTTATTTCCTCTTTGTAAACACAGGTAGTCCTCAATTTACAACAGTTCATTTTGTGACCATTCAAAGTTACAACAACACTGAAAGAAGTGACTTATGACCATTTATCACACTTATAACCATTGTAGCATCTCCATGGTCATGTGATTTTTATTCAGATGTTCGACAACTAGTTCATATTTATGACAGATGCAGTGTCCCAGGGTCATGTGATCATCTTTTGTGATATTCTGACAAGCAATGAGAAATCCAGACTCACTTAACAATTGTGTTACTAATTTAACAAGTTCAGTGATTTACTTAAAAAATGTGGCAGGAAGTCATAAAATGGAGCAAACATCACTTAACAAATTTCCCATTTAGCAACATAAATTATGGGTTCAGTTAAGGTTGTAAGATGTAGGTGTATTCACCTAGCTGTCTTTGTAGCAGCAACCCTTCATCCAAGGCAAGAAACAGATCTTGCTCTAGTATAAAATTGTTATGCAATCCTTCCTTACATTTTCTCTTAAAATAGATGTTTCCTAGTCACCATGTAAATGGGAATTCTATCTTTCTTATACGTATATATTCTTACGTCTTTTCCTTTGCATAGATTTTGCAATGTGATCTGTTCACTTATTTATAATGACAAAAGTAAGTGTTTTCCTTTTATAAGATGACATTAGTACAGTCTACATGATCTTTCATCAAATTTTAATTTATTATAAACCTCTAAGAAAAATATTCCAAGATTTCCATGTTCCTTTTTTATATATTTCATTCATAGTATTTGAGAATGTTATTACCCACTGAATAAACATGAAATCTTCAAATATTTTTGAATATTTTATTGCTTTATTTACCTTGTCTTCAATCCATCACCATCATACCACTTTTTACTTACAATAGATTCCCTCACTTATTTAAAATGATAATTTGGATCATGAAGGATTAGAGTACCTTGGGGAATTATTTCCAAATAATTGGAAATAAGTTGTTTGTTGGTATCTTATTTATTTCTTAAGTATCTTAATATCTCCAAATCCATTTTCAAAATCTACATTTGCATATAGCTTTCAACATAGATAATAAATAATAGATAGATAGATTTATTGATTGATTGATTTAAAAAATAATTCAATAACTAGAGAAGGTGACTGAACTATTACTAAATAGTTACTAAAATAAATGCATATGCTTTTATTATTTAGTAAGCTATATTTAATATTTTAAAATCATTGGTGTAATTTGCAGATGTCTAGAAGATTATGGCAAATGAGTGTGTTGCCAACACAATCTAGTGACCTTTATGTTGTTTGCTTTTAATACCACTTTTTATTTCTTTTGTTTATTTGTTTCATTTTTTTCCAACATATAAAGCCAATTTGTTTTGCTTCCATTGTTATTGTTTTTCCTTTCCTCTCTTTTTCCCCCCAGGAAAAACCCATTCAAGGGTTATGAAAAAGTAAGGAGCTGTCTGAAGTTGTCTACAATTCAGGACATACATAAATATTGGGATAGTTGTCAAGAACCAAAAATCAAGAAGGACCTGTAGTGAATCTTCCAAGTTTTCTTTCTTTCTTTATTATTTTATTTTTTCCTAGATCTATAGACAGAATATTGACAAAGTAAAGCAAACCACATAAAGCCTACAGTCTGTGGTCAGGAATGCACTTCCACCCTCCTGAGAATCCACCTTCTTACTACATTCCACTATGGTAACAAATATCATGGTGATATGCAAGATATATGCCATATTTTGTTCCCAGAAGGATACTAATCTGCACAAATACAAGCTCATTGTGTTGAAGGAAGGTAGAGCTGAGAGTATTAAAGTCTGACTACATTAAGACTCATCATGAAAGACAACAATTTTCTGAACAAAGAAGAATGATGTCTACAGGAAGAAGGAATCTACCGTGTTTCCCCAGAAATACGACAGGGTCTTATTTTCTTTTGCCCCATGAAAGATGGCCTTGGGCTTATTATCAGAGAAGGCTTATTGTTTTGGGGTTGCTGCTTCCTTGCAAGCAGACTCCTGAAGAGCTGGGCACAGCCTCAGGGATGAAGCAGCCATGAGGTAACCATGCTCACGAGCAGCTGTCCTCTCCAGCTGGGCAGAGCTCCATGCACTGACCTAGGGGGTAACCCGAATGTGCCAAGCTGTGGGAACTGGGGNACTTTTTTTTTGGGGGGGGGGTGATGGAGTGATGAAACGGGGAGCTGCTTAGAGCCTCCTCGTCCTGCGCTGCGCTCTTTCCCCACGAGGCCATCTGCCTTCGCCTTCGGGGGGGACGACGACACGGCGGGTGATGGGGGGGTGATCTGTGACCCCCCCCCTCCCCGGCGCTGGGAAAGGGCCCCTGCTGGCCGGGAAAGAGCGTGCAAACCTTCCCAAGCACAACAATAACAATAAGGCAGTGAGCGATGGGAACGGGCAGCGTGGGATTATGGGGAGGGGGCAGAAGGGCCAGGAGTTTTTTTGTGTGTGGGGGGGTAGGGAGTAGGAGAAGGGGAGGCCATAGGTCTGGGGTCGCGGGGGTGGGGGTTAGCCTTGTAGCAGCTCCCACCAGCGTCCAGGGTTGGGGGGGGGGGCTGCCTCGGTGAGACAATGCACCGCCCCCCCTCCCGGGGATTGCCCTTTGGGCGATCTCCTTGCCCCCACCCCCACCCCAAAAAAGAAGGATGCTTCAGGTCGCTTCATCCTCTTCCCCCCTCCCCGCCCATCCCCAAAAGCCTCAAATTGGGAAGTTCGCTTTGAGAGCGCTCCGTTGAGTGTCCCCCCCCCCCCCCTCTCCCGTTCTCAGCTCTTGCTCCCCTTTAGGCATGGCGGGGGGGGGGAGGGCTGAGCTTCCTGCACCGCCGCCTCCCCCACACCCCCCACTATGCTGGCTTTGTTTAGCATCTCTAGGGGAGAGGATGTGGAGGGAGCCTCCCCATGTGCGGGGGGGGGGGCGGTGTTCTGTTCCTCAAGCTTCTCGGATGTGGGGGGGGGGAAAGAAGCGTGCTTGCAAGACTACTGCTGGAGGAAAGTGGGGGGGGGAGAAAGACCCCCAACCAGCGCTTGGATGGCTTCCCCAGGATGCAAGCAACCTTCTGCTTTAATGGGTGGATGGAGCATTCCTGCTATGGCTTGGTCTGGAGAGCAGACCTGTGTTTTCTCAGGGCCCCTTTGAGGTGGGGGTGGGGGTGGGGGCTTCTGGCCAAGCTTTGCTAATTCCAACCCCCCCTCCCTCCCGCCCCCCCCAAATTACTACTTCCGTGGTGGAGGGGGCGGGGAAGCCCATCTCAAGCTGCTTCCATGCCATCTGTCTCTGCCCAAGTCATTTTCGCCCCACTGAAATCAGCCCTCCGAGGGCCAAAGCCACCCCTTGGTTTTTTCCCCCCAGGAAGGTATTGTGGGTGGGTGGGGGAGGGGAACAGGTTGCGTGAGCCCCTCCCCCCCAGAAGTCACAAGGGAGCTCTACCTGTTTGGAAGTTGAAANACAGGTCTTCCCTCTGCTTGGAAAGTCCATGCTCCTAGTCCTCAGTGAGGTCTTCTGCTGAGCCTCCTTCTAGGTCAGATCCAATTTGAACTGAGCTCTTTTGCCAACTCTCTCTCTCTGGCTGCTTAGCTCCAGCAACTGCTTTCTGTTGGGGCCCTAAGGAACCCCGGGCGGGCAGGCGAGAAGGGGCTGGGAGGGGTGAGTAGAGGCCAGCCTGGTGCTCCTCAATGTGAGTGACATCGAGTTGGCCACACCCACCCAGTCACATGACCACCTAGCCACTCCCACCCAGATTGTATTAGTGGTCCGCGGGATTTAAAACTATGAATTTAGTGGTCCCTGAGGTCCGAAAGGTTGGTGACCGTGGCTCTAGGCTACCATGTAGTGGGGGACCCCCACTCAGTAGGATCAAAAAGCAGCACTTTGCCCCGGGGGCAACAGGGGCACTGCCCTCTTCAACACAAGAGACAGGAAGCCATGCTCTGCTGGCCAATGCGCGTGTCGCATGGCGTCACACAGGGACTCTTGTTCAACCTTGGCTTTTCTCCTCGTCCCTCCCCGGCAGCCATCCGGAAATACGGCAAAGACTTCCAAGCCATTGCCGAGGTGATCAGCAATAAGACGGTGGCGCAGGTGAAAACCTTCTTTGTCAGCTACCGCCGGCGGTTCAACCTGGAGGAGGTGCTGCAGGAGTGGGAGGCCGAACAGGAGGGGCTGAGACCGGCCCCCGCCCAAAGTGGCTCGCCCCCCCAGGAGCAGAAGAGCAGCAGTGAGGAAGAGGACGAGGTGAGGGGGAAAGGGGGAGGTTTTGGGGGTGCCGGGCACTGTTGGGGTGCACGCCACGGCGCTGACGGCGTTCCTTTGATCCCTGCAGGTCCAGATCACTGCTGTATCGCGATCTGTGCAGCTGCCTCCAAGCCAGCCTCCCCAGCCTCCCCCCGCGCTTCCCCCGCTCCCCGCCTCCCCTCGACCTCCCCCCGTGGCGCTCTCCCAGCCTCCCCCCTTGCTGAGGCCCACCTTGCCCACCGCACCCATGCTGCACCGCCAGCCGCCACCCCTACAGCAAGGGCGTTTCCTCCAGCCCAGACTTTCGGTCAACCAGCTGCCACCTCCGCTTATCCGGCCCGCGGGGTCCCGCCAGGCCCCGTCACGGGGAGCCCAGCACCCCCCGTCGCTGCTCAGCGGGACAGGAGAACCGCACCCTCTGCCCTCCTTGGGGTCCCTCTGAAGGGGGGGGGCATCTCTGCGCCAGCCTTGCTGCGGCCCTGGTGGGTGGGGTTCGCCTGGGAATGGTACGAGCCCCTCTTCGCCCACCGGTGTGGGTTGGGGGCAGCGGGGAGGGGACGATGTAGGGTGGGCAGGAGAAAGGGTGGAGGGTCTTTTCACTCCTGCCTTCCCCTCCATCGCCCAGACGGGCTCAAGTAGTAGTATTTGGAAAGCTGGCAGACCTGAATGGGGAGGGATGCTGGAATTGGGGCAGGGGGCTTGATGAGTTAATGAGAAAACAGTAGAAGACGTAGCTTGGAATAGGACTGGACTGAGTACATTTCCACTGCTTGAAAAGAAGGGGATGAGGATGATGAATTGAAGGGGAGGGGAGAAAAAAAAGGGGGGGGACTGTCTGCCCAATTTTGGGGTGGGGAAAGAGGCCGGCTGCTCCAGAACCAGAAATCCCCGTTCGGTCTAGGATGACAAAAGGATTGAAGATGGATCTGCTCGGTACTTACTCACCATTCTCCTCCTGGAAGCAGTGCGCGAGCATCGGACGACAGCTGTGGGTCGCCTTAAGAGGAAGAACAGGACCATTGACGTGCCCCCCCCAACTTTCTGATAACCTAGTAGCCCCCCCTCTCTCTGTCCCTTCGTCGGCAGCTCAGTGCCGCCGTCTTTTTAAGAGTCCGCGTGGCATTTTCAATAAAAGATATTTTGGTACAAGCTTCCGGATGGTGCTTGAGTGGAAGAGGGGCTAGTGGGAATGCCACCCCCCCCCAAATCATTTTGGCCAATCCACAGCTTGGGATGTTTTCCAAGGGAACCCCCCCCCCTCCCAATTCCCCATCATTTTGTAAAAACAGGCTTGGAGCATTTTTTAAAAATTTCTTTGGCTTTTAATAAGAAACCAGCCAGTGTCTCCCGGAGATGCGAAAGGTTGCCTTCTTCCGGCCTGCGCTGGAGCAGAAAGGAGTGTGCTGCCCCCCCCCCCGCCCCCACATGAAAGGTTGCTGGTCCCAAGTCCTTTTGGGGGGACGACTGCCCAAGCTTCCGGCCCTCAGTGGGAGGGGAGCCAACGTGGAACCCAAAAACAGAGGAATCTGAGGCTAGGTCAATGCTTTCTGGAAAGTTTTAATCTAGAACCTGTAAAACTACATCAAACGGCAGCATCCTTGAGAGAGAGAAAGAAAGAGAGAGAAAGAAAGAAAGGGGAAGGATGGGAGGGGAAGAGATGAAAGCCCCTTCCCCATCCCCAAAAAAGGACATGATCATCTTTCTTTTTTTAAAAAAAAGGCAATGTTGTGATGAGAAATTAAAACGAAAAAAAAAAAATTATAACCACTCACAAAAAAACCGAGGTATCAGTACAGTTATATACAAACCAGGCGTGTGTGTGTGTCAGAGAAGGCGAAGGGGCTGCAGAGCCCCCTCCCCAGGACCAAAAATACATTCTCAAGAGGGAGGGGGGGCAAAAGAAACCCGGGGAGAAGAGAAGGCAAGGGGAGGGGGCTGCAACCAATCTCTCTTTTTTTCTTTTTTGCTCTTGTGCTTTGGAAAGGGAAATAAAAATTGGGGTGGGGGGGTGGGGGAGGAACAGAAGCCGTGGGTCGTTCCTCCCCCCCCTCTGTTTTCAGTAGAAGTCCACCCAAGCTCTCCAGAAAGCCAGGGGGTGGGTGGGGGGGCAGCGTACCTGTGACCGGGGCTAAAACAACAGCAGGCCCAAAAGTTCTTGGACCCAACCCATCCTGAACATCCAAAGTGGAGACGATGCGACCTCCCGCCGTGTTTGGGGGGACAACAGAAAGACGTGCCAGGAAAGGGAAAAAGAAGGCTAACACCACCCCCCCCGCCCCCAAGAATGCAGCATTCAAGACAGGAAACTGGACTCCACTGGACCGAGGGATGGTCCCGTTGGACGTTGTGTGTGTAAACAGGGCGCTGACCAGCCCAGAGAGTGGCCCTCTACCGCCATGCCTGCATAAAGGGGAGGGGACATGGGGAGGGGGGACAAAGGAGTGATGGATCAGGTGGCTGTGCCATCTCGGCGGCCGTCCTTCCCCCGACCCTCCCTTCCGCTCAACCCCCACCGGCGGCTCCCCCAATTAGCAAGGAAGAGCAAAAAAAAAAAAAAGAAGAACCTCGGGAGGGATTGTGAGGGGGGGGTGTCTGTCTGCGGGGTGTGTGTGTGTTTGGGGGAGAGGTGCCGTCTGCAGGGACCAAGCAAGGGGTGGGGGAGGAGACACACACCTCGGAAGCAAGGAGGCACTTGGCTTCCATCGTTGGCCAAAAAGAACGAGATCCCGTTTCCCCAGGCAAGGGGTCCCAGTGGCTGCTTCCCCCCCACCGCATCCCAACTGCCTGCTGCCACAGCTGCTGCCACCTCCTCGGCTGACCCGGATTTCGAATCTGGAGTCTAGGGGGGGGCAGGGGGGACGGGGGAAAGGACTCCCCCTGTTCCCGAGGGGGAGGGGAAGAGAGTCCCTGCTTTTTCTGTTGCAGTTTGGTAACATGGCAAAACCCTGTCTCATGTAGAAGGAAAGGGGGGAAAAAGAGAGGGAGGGGGAGAAGGAAAAAAAAAAGAGGAGGAAGAAAAAGTACCACGGTCGCCACGGAGACCAAAAGGGATGCTTCCTCATCCGACAGACAGCCCTTGGTACCCTCCCGTTCCTGTTGCCACGGAGACCAGCTAGGTGGCTTGCCAACCACAATCCCACGCACCCTGTCTCCATGGAGATCCATCAGTGGGAGGGGAGGCGTGGGGAGAGGGAGAGGCGTGGGGGGGGATACCCCCCTCCACCTTCCCCCCCTATTTTGCCCTACCCGCCCATCCTTTGCCTGCATGGCCCGGCACCCGGGGCCCCTCTCAAAAGTGAAGTTGCGGCTCTCTTCCTCCTGACGCCCCCACCTCCCCCTCCGTCGCGTGTGCAGGCCAGGCGCCTCCTCCCCCCCTCCCGCGCCCCTTTTTCTCCCGTGAGGGTGGCCCGTTAAAGCTTGAGTTCGTTGGCGATTTTGGAGGCAATGTTCTTGAAGGCCATGGAAGTGCCCGATATCCGCTTGAAGCGGACTCCGTTGAGCGAGAGGCGGGGCAGTTTGCAAACTTCCATCTCCCACTGCACGAAGGCTTCGTGGCCGGGCGCCCCGTGCATGCACAGGAGCATGTATTTCTCCTGCAACTCGCACTGGCAACTGTTCGCGTCCAGCACCTTCCGGATCTCTTTCATCATCTCGTTGGGCTCCATGGAGCTGGTGGTCTTCATGCTCCAGGTGAAACGCAGCGATCGCGGCTTGGCGTCCCGGTTCTCGTCCCGGTCTTTCTCGCCGCCACCGCCACTACCCATCATGTGAGGCCTGCCAGGGGGGGAGGAGAAAGGGAAAGGGTGAGGAGGGAGGAGGAATCCATCCCCCGCTGCCCCTCCGACGGGCACCAGCGTGCGGCCCAGTCCGATCCATAACCCAGAAGAGCTGAGGGGGGGAGAGATGGAAAGAGAAAGAATTAGGAGGAGACGGAAGACTGTGAGGTCCTTGGTGATCTCTGAGCGTGGTTGTTGTCTTGCAGACATTTAATTACCAGGCTAGTAACATCATCAGTGTTAAACTAGAGGTGGGAGGAGGAGGTGTTGGTGGTGTTGGAGGAGGCAGAGGAGGACCGTGAGGTCCTTGGTGTTCTCTGAGCGTTGCTGTTTTCTTGCAGACGTTTCATTACCAGACTAAGTAACATCATCAGTGCTAAACTAGAGGTGGAAGGAGGAGGTGGTGATGGTGGTAGTGATGATGGAGAAGGAGGAAGAGGAGACGGAGGGCTGTGGGGTCCTTGGTGCTCTCTGAGCATCGTTGATTTCTTGCAGACCTTTAATTACCACACTAGGTAATATCATCAGTGTTAAACTAGAGGTGGGAGGAGGAGATGGTGGTGGAGGAGGAGGAGGACTGTGAGGTCCTTGGTGCTCTCCCAAGTGTGGTTGTTTTCTTGCAGGCATTTAATTACCAGACTAGGTAATATCATCAGGGCTAGACAGGAGGACGAGGAGGAGGAAAAAAGAGAAGGAGGTCAGGGCAACGAAGAGGTGTAAGAATGGAGGTAGGTGCCAAGGAGCAGCCTGGCCCTGTGGGAAAAACAGACCGAGTGGGCCCAGGGTGGGAAGCCCCTCCCAGCCCTGGCTGCGTCTCACCTGAGGGTCTCCACGCGGTCTTTGCTTTCGGGCTCATGCAGGTTCCTCAAAAAACAGAGCAGGAGACAAGCCATCAGCACCCTCCAGTTAGCATTTCCTGCCCCTGATTTTTGTTTTCTTTTCGCCCAAGCCGTGGGGAGGGGGGGGGCCTCAAGGCATTCGGGGGGGGGGGGAGGGGGAAGCTAAGGTGTGGTGGGGCACCCCAGGCAGAGCGGACAGCCCCTCTCAGTTGTTGTTCGGCATGCTGGGATCAGCCAAGGCAGCCTTTTTGTGGGGAAAAGCTACAGGAGTCAGCCTTGGGTTCGTTTGTCTGGGTGCAAGCACCGTTTCTCTACTCCATTCCCAAACAGCAAAAGCCACAGACAAGCAAGGAAGAAAGGGAGGAGGAGGAGGAGGAGATGGAGCTACTTGGAGTGGGGGAAAACGAGCCATGGAATGAGGGAGGGGACTCCTGGTCTGGATGCTAGGTCTGCCATGAACCCGACTGGGTGGTCTTCAAAAGAGCCAAGAGAACCCCCGGCCTCTCCTTAGAAAAGATTTGCACGGCTTCCGAAAGCGGCTGAATTATTTCTTTCGGGCAGGACAGAAGTGGGAAACTGCGGCGTATGTGGGGAGCGCCCGTGTCAAACAAGTTTCATCTCCTTTCGCTTTTTGTTCTAACCCTCCCAGTTTTGGGGAACGCTCCTCCAAACCCAGCATGACTCAGAGGCCTTCCTGCCTTCCTCCCTCTCTTTCTCTTTCATTTCTCACTCTTTCCTTTCTTCTCTTCCTTTTTCTTTTCCTTTCCATTTCCCTTCCTTGTTTCCTTCTTCCTTCCTTTTCTGTCTTCTTTTTCTTTCTTTCTTTTCCGCCCTTCCTCTTTCTTTTCTCGTTTCCTTTCTTCTCTTCCTTTTTTTTTCTTTCTTTCCATTTCCCTTCCTTGTTTCCTTCTTCTTTCCTTTTCTAACTCCTCTTTTTCTTTCTTTTCTTTCCTTCCTTTCTTTTCTGTTCCCTTCCTTCTCTTCCTTTTTCTTTTCTTTCTTTCCATTTCCTTCTTCCTTCCTTTTCGTCTTTCTTTTTTACTCTTTCTTGTTTCTCTCTTTTCTTCCTTTTCCTTTCCTTTTTTTCCTTTCCTTCCTTCCTTGTTTCCTTCTTCCCTCCTTTTCTAACTTTATTTCTTTCTCTTTCCTTCCTCTTTCTTTTGTTTCTCTTTTGTTTCCTTTCTTCTCTTCCTTTTTTCTTTTCCTTCTTTCCATTTCCCTTGCTTCCATTTTACCTCCCCTTTGTTACTCCTCCCTCCCTCCCTCCCTTTCTTCCTGTCCTTGAAAAACGTTTTGCTTCTCATCCAAGAAGCTTCTTCAGTTCTTCTTGGATGAGAAGCGAAACATTTTCCAAGCCCCCCAAAAGTCGAGTCGCTTTATGCAAAAGCAACCACGAGACAAGTGCTGCTCTGCTCCAAACTCTTCTGTGCCCACCCCCCTCAAAAGGGGGCCCTTTCCCCCCACAGATCCCCTGCAGGAGGCATGCGCGCACATCGCACGCCCTGTGCAAAAGGCAAAGTGCGACAACGCAATTGCGATTGCTCACAGCTTGAGACTCTCTACCTGCCAAGACAATGAAAGACTTCAGTTCTTCCACAGCCGGCCCAGGTTTCCTCGGCTGAGAGTTGCAGGTTGAGGAGGGGGGGGGGGTCATACCTCTGCTCTTTTTAGGGGGAGGGCGGGGAAATACATACATGCATTCGCACAACCACACCCTCTGTTCTGCCCCAGCTCTGTCCCCAGGGAATGCCTCTGGGTCAGTTTTGTAGGTCAACACTGTTGCTGTGCCAGGTTGAGATGTTGAAGGTTGAATTGAAAAAAGAAATTTCTTTCTTTCTTTCTCTCTCCACTCCTCCCTCCCTCTTTCCTTCCTTCCTTCTTCCCTCCCTTTTCCTTCCTTATTTTCTTCTTTCTCTCACCACTCCTTCTTCCCTTTCCTTCCTTCTTCCCTCCCTTTTCCTTCCTTCCTCTCTCCACTCCTCCCTCCCTCTTTCCTCCCTTACTTCTTCCTTCATTTCTTTCTCTCTCCACTCCTCCCTCCCTCTTTCCTTCTTTCTCTCACCACTCCTTCCTCCCTCTTTCCTTTCTTCTTCCCTCCCTTTTCCTTCCTTTCTCTCTTCACTCCTCCCTCCCTCTTTCCTCCCGCCCTTTCTTTATTTCTTTCTCTCTCCACTCCTCCCTCCCTCTTTCCTTCCTTCCTTCCTTCTTCCCTCCCTTTTCCTTCCTTCTTTCTCTCACCACTCCTCCCTCCCTTTCCTTCCTTCTTCCCTCCCTTTTCCTTCCTTCTCTCTCTCTCCACTCCTCCCTCCCTTTCTTTCTTTCTTTCTTCCTTCCTCCCTCCCTCCCTCCCTCCCTCCTTCCTTCCTTTCGTGCAAAGGGCTGTCAGGAAGCAGATATTGCTGAAGCAAAGGCTGGGTACTTGGAAATCCCCCCCCCCTTCCCCCCAATTCTGCTTATTTTCTGTTTAAACCGGAGTTAATTCAAGGGGATGAAGCTGGCTCGATTCCATTCAGTTAAGTCTGGCATCTCGCACGCGACTTTGTAGAAGTGACGGCTGAAAAGTGACAGCACGACTTCCTCCTGATTTGAGAGAGGAAACGTACAGGAACTGCAGCAGGAGACCCAGCTGATCGATGGCCCCCTACACAGGCAGCTCCAGACTTACAAACAGTTCGTTTAGCGACCGTTCAAAGTTACAGCAGCATTGAAAAAAGTTAACTTTTT